GCATCCTTGCCATGTGTTCCCTGGCTACCTCTAGCATACCCCTATCATAATGTTCCTCCTACTCTATTGTAATTTTCTGTTAAACTTACCTTTCTTCCTCCACTGTGTGTGTTGTGGTGGCGGGGGGAAGAGAAGAGGGTTGGGATTATGTCTCATTCATTACACTACTAGACTTGGCACATAGTTGGAGGTTGAAATATATTAATTGGAAGAATAAATTTACACACACAGAATAGTCACCAGTAATGTCCATTCTCATCCTGAGATATATGTGATGGTATTTGGACCAGGTTTCCTAACTGAAGACCCTAGAGCATTTGCAAACACTAATTAACCCTCACAATGATGTTTTCAAGAGCGGCACTCTGGGTGTCAGGATAAAGAATTGAGGACTCAGTGTTATTTGGGGAGGAGGTCTTATCAGTTCCATCTAGGGCAGTATAAGATACACAGCTATAATGTAACCCTCACTCTTAAGTTCTTTAAAGACCAGTTAGGGTTTGTCCACTGGAATGAAATGATTTACTATGCTTCCGTGAAACTTAGAACCATTAGGAAAATGGGGTTCTCACACTTTTTTTCTTGAAAGACAATCTTTTTGGGGGAATAAACGATTAGGTGTCAAAACCAACCCTGAAAATTAAAGTTTTTGTCATTTGGAAAACCTCTACGGAATTGAAATGCTCTCATAATGACAAAGCAAACAGATTTTCTTACCCTGATAGCAGAGAAGAGAATAACTGTCTTGGTTTTAGGCATTCAAAGTTTTTCCACACGTGTAAGGAAAAGGAGATGTAATACAAACAATGAATTAACGGGCTCTGGAGTGGGCAAACCTGGGTTTGAATCCTAACTTCACCACATTGGGCAAGTTATTAAGCTTCCTGAGCCTCGGTTTCTTAAAATGTAAAACGGTAACAATAGAACCTTCTTCAAAGGTTGAAAGGATTATTTATGAGATAATCCACCTAAATCACTTAGCATCAGGAGTTAACATAGGCAAATGTTACCTGAATAGGAGGAAATAAAGGAGGAACAATTAGGCCTCTTTTATCTATGCTAAGCTTTGTCTGCAGAGGAGGGAAAAGAAATGTGTTGCTTGTTGGCAAATTTACTGCTTTGTGGTAGTAATGGATTTTCCTAAATCTGTTTCCCTCTGATCATTAATAACCCCTGTACAGCAAAGGGCTATTGTTCTTCAGTATGAGTAAATAACCCTGTTGGAGGCACTGCTTATCTTCAGACCACAGCTCATGCTTCTTACTGGAAATACAATGCAGGTGCCAACACCAAAGGCATGACCAGGCTTCCCTTCCTATTTTCCTTCCTTTATCTCTTACCCCTTGCTTATCCTTTGCTGTACTTTTTTCCTAGATCTGTTATACCCCCTACTTTCTCGCATACATCCATATCCTATACGGTATCATCCTTACCCAAATCGAATAACCTTCAAGCTAAACTGTGCCCCACACATCTCTGTCCTCTAGCCTTCCTCGCCTCCATACACACACACACACACACACACCATGGACTTGTTTCCTGTCCTGGCTTCAGTTTTTGGTTACTAGAATCCAAAAAGGGAAGTGTAATGCCACACATTGTTTTGCAGATCTCAGGATATGCTTGTGCGGCGTACTTAATCATACCACAGCTATTCTCTGAAACAGCATCTTTTTACATAGAAAGTGACAATATGGTGTGTCAGAGATAGAGGGCAGGGAGGAGAGGGTAGATGGTATTTTTATTTTACTTAAAGGAAAAGAAATTAGGGGAGGCCCTGTAATATGGGAAATCTTCAGAACACAAGGAAAAACAGAAAATATTGGTGTCTGAAAGACTTCTAAACTATCCCAAACAAGATCATATGAGGCAAGTACACTCATTCTAAATATACCAGCACTGGAGCACTCAAAAGATTATACTTGTCAGGGGAACTCCAATCAGGCTATTGTAACCAAGAGATATACAGCTATCTTTGGAAACCAAGTTTTGGTTCCTCAATTCAAAATAAATGGAAGTATCTGTTTCCTTATCAGCATATAAGAAAAGATAAAGACAAGATAAGGGTCAATCAGAGGTGGTGGGAACCAGTTACCAGAAGTAGGAGGTGGTGTTAGAGGGTGAGGGTGAGGGTGTGTGTGTGTGTGTGCGCACGCGTGTGCGATGGAAACAGATGAAAATTAGGTCAACGCTAATGATCAACTCCAGTCATTCATTCATAACTACCCAGGATTTCAACCCCTCATGGGAACTAGGGAAGTTAGAGAACACAAAACACTTACATTTAAATTAACATTTAAATCCTTCCTTTGTGATAATTTCCTAAGGAACTGCATTAAGAAACTGACAAAAAGGGCTGTAGTTATAACACTAGATACAGCTGCTTTCTAGCACCTGACCCTTGATGGAACCATCTGATAAATAACCTCATTCTGCCCAGGGGTTCCTGCCTTCACGACAGTTTTCAAGTACCCTCCAACTATTGAATAACTATCAAATAAGCAACTTTTCTCATCTGCAGAGGCACTGGAGCTCCTTACTAGACAAAGTTCCTTGAGAGTAGGAGCAGATTGTTCACCTTTATGCATCTGGAATGATTAGCACCCCCAGAACCTTCAAGTTCCTCCAGTCCAGCACTGACTGAAGAATGTTCTTCAATGATGGAAATATTCTATATCTGTGCTGTCCAACAGGGTAGCCACTGGCCACATGTAGCTATTGGGCACTTGAAATATGCTAAGTGCATCTGAGGAACTGCATTTTAAGTTTTTATTTTATTTAAATTTAAACAACTACATGAACAGCACAGCTCTAGACCAAGAATTGCAAATCAAATGCCCAGAGGGGTCAGGCAGGTAGTGGAAGGGAGAGGCCTTTGGCAAACTTGAGCACTGAGCCACAAACAGAGGGGGAAGCAGCTCATTGGCTCCAGTTCACTGTTGCTGTGTAGGAACCTCAGGCTGGTGTTGCCAGATTGTCTCATTTCCAAATGAAGCTGAAAATCTGGATTTTGATGTCCAATTTTTAAATGTTGGCAAGTAAATTTAAAAAATAATTTAAATCACTTTGTGGGCCGAACAATATGTTTGCAGGCAATATCTATTTTGCCAGTTGGCAATCTCTAATCTAGGCCAACTCCTTCAGCTCAAAGAAAAAGGCCTTATCCAAGGCCACTCTGCTGGTCAGTAGCAGATCCAAGATTGAAACTCAGGCCTTCTGATGCTTCTTCTGATGCCCTTTCTAGATTTTATGAGATTGACCATATGTCGATTGTGGTGGCAGTGGCAGTAGCAGCAGGGACAAAAGCCCCTTTGTCAGAAGCTGTGGAAGTCCATGGCTGATATCTTATGAACACAGTGTTCCTACCTAGCTACAACCACATGCTGGGCCCTATGGGCAAGGCTCTGTACCAGGGGCCAGTAGGACACAAAGAAGAAATAGTCCATGGGGGAGCCAGACATACAAACAATTAACAAGCAAAGTCAGACTTGCTATAATGGACACAAACCACCTGCACACAAGTCCAAAAGCATTGACAACCGGGAGAGAGGGAGGGAAGGGACTTGAGCCAGATTTTAGAGGATAGTAGAAACTGGCTAGTGGAGGGTTGAGTCTCACTAATTATGAGGGTGGGTCTCATTATTACAGGATATTAAGGGGGCCTCCTTTTATCTTTGAGGCCTTGTCTGTATAAGTCTCTTTTGCTGGTTTCTCCAATCTCTAAATTTAAAGAGCCCCAAGGAGTTTAGGGGCCTTTCTCTTTATCTACACCTTCTTCTTAGGTGATCTAGGAATAAACTTCTACATTTATTACCTCTATGACTTTTCCTGACTCGTATATCGAACTTCTCGACAACTTCACCTGGATGGTTAATAGACTTATCAAATCTAATATGTTCAAAAGAGAACTTATGATACTCCCTTCTAAACTGTTTTCCCTTAGGAGTCATCATTGGTTGCTCCCTCTCCCATACACTTCACATCCAATTCGGCAGCAGGTCCTGTAAGCTCTACTTCCAAAATACATTCTGAATTTAATTCTCTCCATTTCCAATGAGACGGCAACACTACCATCACCTCTCCCTTGGCCAGTCACTGCAACAGCCTCCTAACAGGTTTGACTACTTCTAGCCCTCTCTATCCAGCAACCAAGAGTGATTTTTTAAAAAATGTAAACCAGAGCAGGTCACTCCCCTTCTTAAAACCCTCTGGTAACATAACAGCCAAACCCTTACCTTGGGCTGGATCAGGCCCTGCCACTTCATTACTGACCACTCTGACCCTTGTTCTTTCTGCTCCAAGCCACCTGGCCTTCGCGCCGTTCCCTTCCTCAGAAGCCTTTCCGTTGGCTTTTTTCTCCACTTAGAAAGCTCATTTCTCTACTTCCCTCTTTTTCTCAGATCTCCGCAAAACCTGGCCTCCTCCGAACAGCCTTACCCGATTTAGAGTGGCCCTCCCCCCAGCTTCTACGACTTCTACGACTTGGGGGCATTTCTCACTGGCTGATATCTTCCTTATTGATTTACTTTTTAACTTTCTCCTGGACTCGAATAAAAAGTCATGGAACAACGCCTCCTTTCGTGGACCAAAGGAATTAAGAAGCTGGTTCTCAATGTCCTAAAAAGTCTCCGTAACCTGTACAGATCTCATTTGGGTCAACCTTCCCCAGCTAGACGCCTCTTGCCCCCGGCATTGCCCCTATTAATCTCCCATTTACATTCCGGGATCCAAAGGATTCAGAAAAGTCTCAGATGGACCCCAAACAGGCATCTCGGCGTCCCCAAACCAGGCCTCCCCTTCCTGGCCCTCGGGCCGCTTCCCTTGGTAGGTTCCCGAGGCCAAAGGCGATGACACCCAGCCGCCCTCGAGAGGCTGGGGTCACACAGGCGCGTCTCCTAGCAACGTCGCACTCCCCCCACCCCCATCCCTGCCCTTGGGGAGCCAACCCCTTCCCCCAGTCTCCCGCGCCAGGAGTCAGCGTCTCCATCCCCTACACTCACTCTGCGTCAGTCCTGCCTTCCCCACCCACAGAAGCGCCGCAGCCCCCAGCGGGCTGGGAGGAGGCGGCGCCCGGAGCCCAGCTGAGCCGCAGTCCACGGAGTTCGGGCAAGGTCCGGTAGGCCAGGCCGGACCAAACCACCGGGCTGACCTCTGTGGGAGCATTAGTCCTGGGTCGGGGGTCTCGAGCCTCCCTCAAACTTAACTCTCGCCCACCCTCCGCCGTATAGCCAACAATGTAGCCAACTTGATCCTCTATTTTCCCTTTACCCCTTTCGCTATCCTTCCCCCCCATTCAAGCCAAAAAAATGGTCTAGTCCAGCTCCTCCTAGCCTTCCCGCCGGGTCGCTAGGTCTTTGCCCTTACTTGGCGACGGCTTCGTACGTGTTTTCGTACGTCGTGACGCAATCTTCCACCCGTTCCCTCCCCGCCCCCTTCTATTCTCCCTCCTGGAGCGGACGGCCTGCGGGGTTACCGGAAGTGATGATGCAGGAGGCGATGGAGGGGGCGGGGCTTCGAGGCGGCCGCCGCCGGTGGGCCGCAGATGAAGAGGAGGCGGCGGCAGTGGTGGAAGAAGAGGCGGAGGCGGCGGGGGTAGGGAGCCTGGAAACGCGAGCGGGGATGGTAGGTGGTTTGGACCCGCCGGGCCGCCGTCGTTTCCAGAAAGGGTTTGACTGGAGGAACCTCTGGAGCAGCTGTGAGTTTGGGGAGGGGGGTGGTGGTTGAGAAAAGGGGGCGCATTGAGAGATGAAGGGGCGGGGGTTGGGTACCTTCGAGAAGGGGGGGGGGGGGAAGGGGAGGAGTGGAAATCAGCTCCTTGTCTGGACTGGTCCCTCTGGAAGAAGAGGCTGTGAGGGGAGCCTGTGGCGTGTCAGCCGCGGGGCTCAGAAAACTTACCTACTGTCCTTGCCACCCCACTGCCAGCACCCCTCAACCCAGGGCCTTGGGATTTGGGGGCCGGAGCTACCCTGGAGGGGTGCAGACTCTGGTCCTATGCCCCGGGTGAGCGTTGTGAGGTAGGAGCCCAAGCGAGAGGTGGTGGGTGAATCTCCAGCTCTCTCCGCCCTCATTTCCCTCCCCACCCCCATCCTTCTCTAATCATTAACAGCCCCGGAATTAAGGGGCTCAGACCTGAAGGCCTTTCTATGCACCTTTGCTATAAACGATAACCATCTGTGCCTGAGGTAATGGGGCTGGAGGCCTTCCTTGTGTCCTGTATAGGAAGTGGGACGGGGTGACAAATGTATTGTTTTCCATTCCGTCTCACCCCTCATCCTCCCTCATGCACACCCCTCCTTTCCACTTTAGTTTTCTGTGGCTAGGTGGTAATCCTGGTGTTTTGTCTTTTTTTTTTTTCTTTTCTTTTCTTTATGGCACTTGGTTTTGGTTACCTCTTTTGAATTTGGTGTTCAGCCTCTATCCCAGATCTTAACTGCAAGCTTTGTAATACTTCAGTTACAGGCTGTGTTACACTGGGAGTACTTCTCAATATCTGGTAGCTCCCGATTGAAATGAGCATTTTCTTCTACGAATACTGGAATTCCAAAGCCCTTGCAGGGATTCCTAAATGGCATCATAGCCCAGGAATCAAGGTCTCTTGCTCTAAATACTTTGTGTGTGAGGAATTTATATGTTGTCAACTCTTTTCCAAAATGATTTGATGTTAAGCTAATTCTGGATTTCTGTGTTTCTCTCCATCCACACTTCATGATGCACTTCAGAGAACAGAAAACCCAATATTACTTTTTTGTATTTACAATTGGACAATAGCTCTTTTATCTTTTTCTCCTTTTGTGTGTCTGGCACACAAGTCTTCAGTGACACATTCGGCTTGTGCTGATTTCCATCTTATTTATTGAGCTGATTCTTTGTATAGGTGGTCTTAAATGAGACAATGTGATCTGTTTAGTTTAGTTTTAAAGAAAAATACAAACCAGTAACGGATGTGAAAAAATTATTTGAAGAAAGCAAAGAATGATTGGAAGGAAGGTCTCTTGGTTGATGTTCTGTTGGTTTAAAACACCAAGTAGCGCTCCTTTAGCCTGTCATAAGGATTTCAGAGTGAAGTGTAATGATTCTTATTTTCATGTTGATATTTTCTTTGGAAATCCTCTGCTGAACCTGGAACTGTTTTCTCTGAAGGACTTTAAGAGCTAGGGCCTAAATTTCAGGGATCCTTTGATTAGAAAGTATCCATAAATCCTATCCCTCTGTAACTGAGTTTATATGCATATTGCTAGAAGAATTATCATAACGGATGCCATCCTACTCAGCAGGGCTTTCAGACCTGATAAAACAGAATACTTAATGCTTTGATTGTACAAGTAACAGCATGTGTAGATATTTCACAGAAATGCAACAAAAGAAAAGAATGACTGCTGTTCACACTTTAATTGATTTGGAACCATTGAATAAAAAGTCTAAAATTCATTCATTCAACGAGCATTTATTAACTGGCTGCTAAGTGCTAGGCACTGTTTCTGCCACTTGGGTGTAAAAAGGTGAACACAAGCATAAGGTGCATGCTCTCATGGAGCTTATAGGGGAGTGGGAGATGGGGACAGATAATAAATAAGAAAATAAATCAGGTTTTGCTAAGTGCTGAAGAGAATAAGAATGATGTGATAGAAAGTGTCTGACTAGGATTCAGTCAAGGAAGACCTTTCTGAGGAGGTGACACTTAAGCTGAGCCTTATATAAAAAGCTTATATGAGCTTAAATAAAAAGGAGGCAGCCATGCAAAGATAGAGCAGGAGCCTTCCAGCTTCTGGGACTAGCTAGTGCAGAAACTAGCTGGAGTTAGTTTGGCAAGTTCTGGGGAGTGGGAAGAAAGGGGTGGGGTAAAAGGAGGTGGAGAGGTGGGGGAGGACTGGGAATGGGGGCCAGTAATAGCCAGAGCCTAGTGAGCGAAGGGGAGAGTGAAAAGAGTCTAGTCAGAGAAGTGGAGGCGGGCTCAGAATAGGTAGGCAAAATAAGAGCGAGAAAGAAAAAGAAAATGATCCTCCTTTTTGATTATTTCTGTTGCCTTTCCTACAGTCTTATCACTTACTATTTTGCAGGTACTGTTGGACTATTGTAATAAAAAAAAAAAATCACCCTGCTGAGAGTGGGAGAGAAGGCAGCTGTGGTCACCTGGGGCTTTTCTGGCAGATAAACCTCAAGCTGTGTGTTCAGAATTCAGTGGAATGTTCAAGTGAGGGCACACCATTTTCCTTACAGTATTTTGTTTCATATGCTCGTATTTAAAATTGCATAATAAATACCCCAAATGTATTCTGGTACGAGTCCTCCTTTGCTTCCAGCTGTGTGTGAATTTAGAGTTGAAGGTTGGGCAAGTGATAATAATATGCCCCTGTTGGTCTACAAAGATGACCATCAGGATCTAAGTTTGAAGTTGTTTTTTGTAGGGAGGCAGGATTTATGTTGCAATATTTCCACTCTTGTCTGGTCTGCCTGATGACTAATAACACTCAGCTGAGGTGTAGTTTGGTGCTAAAAGTTCACTTAGTGGATTACATTAGATAAATGACCATTGTGGGACCAATCCCAGTATGTCGGCATCTTTGGGCTGGCATGTAACCAAGGGATGTAACCTACTTTTGCCTTCTGCTGGGGCCATTCATCTCCAATAGTCAGCTGCTTTTCAGCCTCACCTTGACCAGATTGTCCACTTGAGAGGCCCAATCAAGACTCCTCCTTGATTTGGCCCTCTTGAGCCATGTCACAGTGGGCTCAGAAACAGAAAGAATTTGCTGTTTTCTTCTTTTGAACCCCACAACAGTCACTAGTGTGTTCTTTGAGTGAATTGGCCCTTTGAGCAAGGCTGTAGAGAGACTTAAATGTTGCTTAGGCTATTTGTAGTAAAGTCAGTATTAGAAATGCTAAATGAAACCTTTTAGTGTTTGGGAAAAATGAATCAGAAATTGAGGACTTGTCACCTGTTTTAGGCTCTAGTACTTTAGTAGCATAGGTAGTTGGATTGTCAGAACTAACTTGAATAGAGCTTCCTAGGCAGTCCTGGGGGCAATAAAGGGGATGGAGTAGAGCCTGGTACTGAATTCTGACTTGAATGCAAATAGAAAGTCTTTTAGTTAGCAAGCAAGTGACTAAAATGGACAGTTAGGACCAGGCAGACAATCAACTCCACCCTCCATACTACAGAGTAACTCAAAGGAATGGAGAATTGATAGTGAGAGAGAGATATATATATATATTACTATATATGTTTGGCTTTAGCCTAGATTAAAGAATTTTGGACTTTGTATCCTAATACTGGACTTCAAATGCTCTAGCCCTCTAGCCAATGGGTTATTAAGCTGTCCATTATTCATCTTCATTTCAATGGTTTGTTATAACTCAAGTATGAAAATATCCTGTAGGCTGAAATTTCATCAGCCAGTTTGGAGACTAGTGGCTCTTTTCTAATTTTTGAAAGGGGGTGGATGGGTAGGAGGAGACTTGAACACAGGGAGAAACCATTGACTCCTACGAAGGCCACTACTTGTGTTTGGGGAAAGAATCCGAAAAGCTAAATGAATTTTGGATTCTGAAAGCTGAGCTGGCTTTTTAGCTGAGTGTAACAGTGGATTTGTTTCTTAAACTTCAGGGGCTTTTGGACAAACTCTTCTGAAAGATGGACAACTTAGAAGGCCAGTTGATGCCACTTGTTGGAGTTGTGGGTGTTTTGCATTGCATTGGATGACTTAAAATTAATCTGATTTTGCTACTGTTTTGATATATGTGCTGCAGTAGGGAGAGTTAATTGTACATTGGCTGCCAGTCATTTTGAGGTGAAGTGGTAACTCAGACTGAAACAAAGGTAATTACCTGGTAACTCCTATTTTCTCAGCTCTTGATAATTTACAGTTACCTCTTTGTGTCTATTTACAGATCTTGATACCAGTGAACCAGGATCAATTCTCCCTAAATGTTGGGACAGTGTTCTGAAGCTCTTTGCACAATGGACCAGGGTTTTTAATTGAGTTAGTGTCTTTTAATTCAAATCTAGTTTCACTAGTTCCTTTGTCTGTTTTTCTAGGTGATGGAGGGTCTGCTTTATTTGTGGGGAACGAGGAGATTACCACAGCATGTGACCATTTAATTAGTGAATGATTACAGACTAGAATTTAACAAATTAATTTAGTGAAATAATGAGAGAATAGGTTGGAAGTGGTTCAAATTCAGATTTTTTAAAGTTGTGATATACTGAAAGGAGAAAATGGGAGGGAGAAAAAGCCAAAATATCTTCTTTAGGATGTGTGCAAATAAGACCTTATTTAGATACCATAGGGCAGAACAGGGAAGCTCAGTAAGTCAGTCTTGAGATGGTGATTAGTCTTTGTTGTGGCAAAATAAACTACCTCTGGCCAGCGAGCGTCCTGATACCCCTGATACTAACCTGATTGCATGGAAAGGCAGGCATCATGTTGATGACTCTTCCTGACTTCCCGAGGGCTTGGCCTTGCTCAGGAGTGTCCTTTGAGCTGTGCTGTGTTGTTGGGTTTGGGGCTGAATTGCAGCATGGAAGCTTACATTGCATAGTGTTGGGAAGCATCATCCATGGTCTGTTCTGCCCTGCTCTGCTGGAAGGCTCAGCTTCAGGACCTGGGGGCTGGAAATCTGTCGCTAAGGCCTGTACATCCAGACCAGATATGATAACTGATCAAGAATCTTGGATAGCAGCACTGCATAGTGTAG